GGGGGGGGTTTAAGAGTTTGGCATCAATTATTGTTATGTTCTGAGGTGCTAAAAACAGACCAACCTGGCATAAGGTAGCTATGGCTGTTACAACCCCATTGTACAATTTACTGGACTTTGCCAGCTATGCATTGTGAAAGCCTATCTGACTAAACATATATTTATAAACTGAATGGGTTGTCCAGGCAGTGTATATGGTTGTCTGTAAATCTAAAGATCTTAAAGTGGACCACACATGTTAAAAGATGCTTGTACAATCTACTAACTTAGGATGACATACATTTAAATTGGAAGATATTTTATTTAAGAAAATTAACTGAAAGAAGATTGCAAGTTGAAGGCCACCTTTAAAATGTATTTAGCAACAACAAAAACGTGCCCATTCCTATTTTCATTTAACCTCTACCAAATGTTAGCAATGACAGTTTTAAAGAGGGTGAATTGCTTCACAATGCGTGCAGCTACAGAGGTTGATGGGGACTTGATTAGGGCCCATTTACAAAGTTGCGTTTTAATGCATGCATTGTACAGTGCTAAACTAAATGTGCCCAAGTTGCCCCTAATCAAAATACTTTGTTTCCATTTCTGCAATGCAGAATCAATAACTGTTAACTCTATCCACTCTAAAGCCTAACTTCGAACGAAATTGCATTGTAAAAGGCATGCCAACACACAAAGGAAACAAACACTGATACATGACAACGCACCTCTGTGCACACAGATCTAAATAGGCCCTAAAAGCTACTGCTTGTTAAGAATATGTAAAAACTTCAAAGTCCATAGCCTGGCCGCAAGTTTGTAAGTACACAAAGGAATTAGTTACATAGTATTTGAGGTTGAATAAAGGGTGTGTGTGTGTGTGTGTGTGTGTGTGTTTAAGAGTACCTGTACCCCTGTATATTACGGTCTCTCAGGAAATCGTCCAAAAGCTTCTTGCATGATTCCACACTTTTTGCTGCAATCACTGCTTGTGGCAACGAGTTCCAGACCCTAACCGCTCGAACTGAGAAGAACCCCCTTCGCCCCTTGTGTTTGAATTTTTTTTTTCTACCAGTTTTAGGTGGTGGCCTCTAGTCTTTGTTACGGAATTAATCTTGTACAAGGAGTAAATCATGAAAACACGCTTTACATTTCAGACCAAATCTTAATTTAGATTTCAGCTGTCTGGTACCTTGGGATTCAAACTGTTGAATAGCTTCAGTCAAAGCTTCTTCTGGTTCCATGTCAAATTCTACCATATTTTCTTGTACTACAGCATCAAAGGTCTCCTGTGTTATCCATTTGCATGCCATTTTCAAATGTCCACTGTGTTGGTCTTATCTGGAAAAAAGAAGTTAGAATAGTACAGTGTAAGAGAGCACAGATGCTAAAATATTTATTTAGCTAGGTGTAGCAAATATTTTTACATTGAGCTTCAGCCTTAGAGTCAGCCATGTGGTAACATGGAAATGTGACCCACCAACATACGCACAAGCAGAACCTAGACCCTGTTATTTACCAACTACAGGGATGGCAAAGGCCCACAGGCACCATAAAATCAATGATACAAAACACAAAAATTCCCCAGCCCCAACCTGCCAGCCATCCTGCAACCAAACAAGTAGCCCTGTCAACAGTATGCGTTAAAATCAGAGGTTTTAGTTGCACAAACTTTTGGCCAAAAATATGTAGAAGCCACACTGCCGCGCCAAGGCACCTCTGCAAAGTGTGGTCCTAACTCTATGTATCTGAGTCTCCAAGTGTGAGCATATTAATGAAGTCGATAGATTGCATGCAGGTGTACCTGGAGGTAGCCTACTCCTCCTAATAAGGTGCAGGGACGCACTGGGGGCCCAGCAACCAAAAATGCACGCTGGGACCCCAGTGCATCCCCCTAACCAAAAATAGTCAAACTAGAAAAAAGTGGTACATGCATGAATCCATAACCAGCCTTTATAGCAGGGAGCACAATGGGAAGGCATTCTTCTTCTTTTTTCTAGTTATCATAAAATCAATGATTGCACTTTAAAGTAGTGGAAAAATAAACAAACCAGTGAAAGGGGAAACAAATAAGCAACTTTGCCACCATACTCACCAACAGTCTGGCACTGTTCCCAATAGAAATTATTCAGGTTTTGGCATGATTGATCGCCAGAGCCACTTAGCTCACTTCCAGTGAGCCAAAGTTGTCATGGACCCACCCACCTTGGGACAGAGCTCACAGTTCTGCAGCACCGAACATAACTTGTTGCATGTCATTACATGTGCACTGGGAGTCGCTTACTGCTGCCTCCACTGCAGACGACCCGTACACGATCTCCCTTTGATCTCTTCTCTGTCCCTGAATGCAGGAAGTGAAGTATATTACATCACTTCCTGCATTCAGTGTCACTCTCCGGTACAGAACACCGGTGAGAAGCTGATGAAGCAGATCTCTGCTTCATCAGCTTCTCGGTGGGGTCCCTAGGTGACATTAGTTTTTTTTTTTTATTATTAAAGCATAAACAAATAAAGAAGCTAAAAAAAAAAAAAA